TGACATTCTTGTGTACTCATAGACTCGGGAAGATCACGAGGTCCATTTGAGTATTGTTTTATAGATTTAGCGGGAGTACCGATTGTATGCCAAATACGAGAAATGTGAGTTTTGGCTACAGGAGGTGAAGTTTTTGGGGCATGTTGTTTCAGAAGGTGGAGTATCAGTTGATCCATCAAAGGTTGAAGCAGTTTTGACTTGGGAGCGACCCAAGAATGTGTTTGAGATCCGCAGTTTCCTTGGTTTAGCGGGTTATTATCGGAGATTTGTGAATGATTTCTCCCGTTTGGCAGCTCCTATGACCCGTTTGACCCGGAAAGGGGTCAAGTTTGTCTGGAATGAGGCCTGTGATTCATCTTTTCAGGAGTTGAAGACGAGATTGACTATAGCTCCAGTGTTAGTGATACCTGAGCGTGGCTTGGGTTATGTGATCTATTGTGATGCTTCACGTGACGGGTTGGGATGTGTGTTGATGCAGGATGGTAGAGTAGTGGCCTATGGGTTTCGACAGTTGAAGACTCACGAGTATAACTACCCTACTCATGACCTGGAGTTAGCGGTAGTTGTATTTGCCTTGAAGTGTTGGAGACATTACTTGTATGGTGAGAGATTCGAGGTATTTTCAGATCACAAAAGTCTCAAGTACCTTTTCTCCCAAAAGGACTTGAACAACAGACAGAGGCGATGGGTCGAATTCTTGGAAGACTACAATTTTGACTTGCAGTATCATCCGGGCAAGGCGAATGTGGTAGCGGATGCCTTAAGCTGGAAATCTCATGGAACTTTGGCCAGTTTAGCTATTCGGAAGTGGAAGATGCTTGAAGATCTGGCAGAGATGGGATTACAGTGTTGTGATGATGATGCTTGCAGTGAGTCGGCATTCTTATTTAGTCTTGTGGCTCAGCCTACTGTTGTTGTACAAGTGATTGAGTCACAGAGACAGGACCCGGACTTAGATGCCATCCACGCTTTGATCTCTAATGGTGAGACAGTGAAAGATTGGGCCTTGCATGCAGATGGGGGTCTACGGTTCAGGGGTTTGTTGGTGGTTCCCACATGTTGTCGTGAGGACGTCCTACGGGAGTTTCACACTTCCCGCTTTGCAGTTCATCCAGGTGGTACTAAAATGTATCACAATTTGAGATGTCAGTATTGGTAGAGCGGGATGAAGAATGATGTTGCACAGTTTGTGGCTAGATGCCTTACCTGTCAGCAGGTGAAGGCTGAGCATCAGAGGCCAGCAGGTTTGTTGCAACCATTACCTGTAGCGCAATGGAAATGGGAGCATATTGCTATGGATTTTGTGACAGGTTTTCCAAGGTCAAGAAGGGGCAATGAGGCCGTATGGGTTATCATTGACAGATTGACCAAGACGGCTCACTTTTTGCCTATTAAGGCAACAGATGATGCAGAGAAGCTTGGTGTTCTTTATGTGAAGGAGATTATAAGGTTGTATGGAGTTCCTGTAACCATTGTGTCAGATAGGGATGCTAAGTTCACTTCGAAGTTCTGGGAAGGACTTCAAGTAGCGTTTGGTTCAGCGTTGCATCTTAGTACGGCATTCCATCCACAGATGGACGGTCAGTCGGAGCGTACTATCCAGATTTTGGAGGATATGCTTCGGGCATGTGTGCTTGACTTGGGTGGTAGTTGGGAGGATCACCTTCCACTTATTGAGTTTGCCTACAACAACAGTTATCAAGCGAGTATCCAGATGGCTCCATTTGAGGCGTTGTATGGTAGACTTTGTAGGTCTCCTGTTTGTTGGACTGAGGTAGGTGAGACAGCCGCCTTAGGACCCGACATTGTACTCGAGACTACTGAGAAGGTTAAGTTGATAAGACAGAGGTTACTTACAGCTTAGAGCCGACAGAAGAGCTATGCGGATAAGCGGAGACGACCATTATCCTTTGAGGTGGGAGACCACGTTTTTTCACGGGTTTCTCCACGGAAGGGATTGATGAGATTCGGAAAAAGTGGCAAGTTGTCGCCACGATTTATTGACCGTTTGAGATTTTGGACCGAGTAGGAGAGGTTGCCTACAGGCTTGCTTTGCCACCACAGTTGGATAGGGTCCACAATGTTTTCCACGTATCGATGTTACGGAAGTACGAACCGGATCCATCTCACATTTTGAGTTGGGTAGATATGGACATTGATGAGGATGTTTCCTACGAGGAAGGACCAGTTCAGATTCTTGACACACAACAGAAGGTGTTGAGGAACAAGACGATACCAATGGTGAAAGTCATTTGGAGACACCACGGAGTCGAGGAAACTACTTGGGAGCTCGAACAGGAGGTTCGGTCCAAGTACCCAGCGTTGTTTTCTTCCTCAGGTATGTCTTGATTTCGAGGACGAAATCTTTTAAAGTTGGGGAGAGTGTAATGTTTGTGCCTTTATATATATATATGTCTATGTGTGTGGTGTGTATTAAGAAAAGAAAAAAAAAGAAAAAGAGAAAAGAAATATAAAAAAAAAAAGTGGGACCCACAAATGTTAAGACCATGTTTTTTTTCACTGTAACCTCATCTGCTCTCTCTCGCGTCCATCTCTCTGTTTATCTCTCGGCTCCTTTTCTTTTTTCTTTTTTTCACTTCAAGCTTTAACCCTTGATTACTCTCTCAATCCTTGCCGGATTTAGGTGCCGTTTGAGGCAAAACGACGAGCACGACGAGCCCTACGTGCCAGTATCAGAAATTCTAGCTTTTGGTCCTCTTTGGGAGCTCGAATTTGAGGACCCATTTTCTAGGGTTTTGGTGCAATCTTGAGGTAGGGACATCTTAAGCCATGGAATCTTGTTCCATATTGAATCATGCTCTTCTAATTGTGTTACAACATGTTTGATTGCTTTGATTCTTGTTTAAACTGAGATATTTCAGAATATGCCATGTTATGTGAATATGTGTTACTTGATTGAATGGATAACATGTTTATATAGTGAGTTTCTATCATGATTATTATTTTACAAGCATGCTATAATGTTATATGAAATGGTACTTGTTGTAGAGTGTTGAATTCCCATTTATCATTGTATTGACATCATGTAAGATACATACATTTTATTGGGTTGCATAGGAAGGGATGTTGGTGTTTGAAAAGGAAAATGGGAATTTTGGGTGATGTGTTTGGAAAATTTGGTTTTGATAAACCCGGTCGCTGCGGGGTTACCAACGGGCCGGAGGTTAATATAGCCTAGAGGGGACTACGGAGTCGCCTTAGTGTGGTTGAGCTAGCTGGGCCCCATAATGACGCCGCGGGGTTACCAAGGGTCAGGGACACTAGCCAATCCTCTTCTCGTGTCGCGGCGGGGTTACCAAAGGGCGGGCTGTATTAACGTTTGAAAGTGATGGTTTTGAGAATGAAAATGGGGAGTGTCATTGACATGTATTGCATTTCATTGCATTGCATTGCATTGTTTATAATTGGAATTGAATTGTATGTTGTATTTGATCCCCTACGTTGTATGAACCCTATCTCCCATTGGCCTATGCTTTGATTGGATTCACTAGGACACAAGAATTGTGTCTTAAGTGTCTCTGCTGAGCTATATGCTCACCCCTATATCTATATATTTTTTTTCAGGTCTTGGAAAAGAACCGGTGGACGACAATCCACCCCAACTTTGAAAGTTGCTAGAGGAGCATTTTCCTTGTTATTTTGTAATAGACTACTCCTTTGTTCATCCCTCATTTTTTGTAAAATTCCAAAGGTGTAATGATGTAAATTTCTTTTGAAGAACCATGATCATGTAATACACTTATGATACTTGATGACATATGGGGTGCGAACTTGATGATATGTAACTTGTTGATGAATGGAAGGATAATCCTAGCTTGAAGCATTGTCTAGATTAGTAGGTTGTATCATTATCTTTTGTTGTCGTGAATTCGGAAATTAGTTACATGACAGGTTAAATATGCATTTAAACAGGTTGCGGTAGGTCCATTTTTAGGGGAGGTTATGCCGAATTTTTGTTAAAAAAAAAAAAAAAAAAAAAAAAATTTCTTGGCATTAGTTTTGGTATCGTTACATAGCATGTCTAATGCGGAGCTTTAATCAAGTCTAGTCCGAACTGTTTATTAACAAATTGACTCTTTTTCAACCTTATATGTATATATTTGTACAACAGTTCTTGTAAAATAAAAGAGACTGGCCCTGATGCCTCATAGATTTCTGCTAGGTTATATATATATAGGCATATTCCTCGTGGGAACTTGGAATTTAAGGATCGGCGCTGAATCAACTCCTTGGGCTAATCTTCTGTTTATAGAAACACACTATATAGAAGAGAGGGAGAAAAAGAAGGCGTCTTGACAAAGAATTGTGACATAGAGTTCGAAAGTCAGACTGTAGTCTGGATGTTTCCGATTCCTTGACAAAACAGTTTGACTCAGTGCTTACATCGAAATATAGGTTTAACTATCCAGAACCAAAACCATAATAATAAATAGAGTCAATGGTAACTCCGCCGTGGGAAGAGCGGCTTCTTTGTTTCTTGACAATGTAATTCTCAAAGTCCATGGACATAGTCAACCACATCATTCCATCATCATCGATTACAATTAGGTGCATCATTCACAAATGAATAAAAAAAACTTTATGACTCCGGCATAAATGTGTGTAATTGGTAGTTTCATTAGTTCAAAGTCGTCCAACTATATGTATATGATTTTTTAGAAACGAACATCTATTTAACAGATTGAAAGCATGATTACGAGGGAAATATATATATAGTAAAAATAATTATAATAACAGGTTTTACACGAGACCAGAACGAATATCAGTCTCTCCCCATGGAAAATCGATGGAAAACAAGGGTGGTGCTCCTGCTGATGTTTTCTGCAGCACTAAAGGCTTCTTCATATGAAAGTAAGGCTCAGTTGGTAATGTTCATGTCATGTCAGCTTACAAATGCTATTATCATATTACCAAACAAATAACTAACATAATCATCTATATATACATACATACATACATATACATACATATATATATATATGACCAGAGGTTATGGATTCACCTACTTGCCAATAGACTGTGGAGGATTAATTCGAAACGTTGCAATCTATAACAGCTACGAACTGTGGCAAACCGACAAAGATTTCATTAAAACTGGAGAGAACATAGTCCTCCCCACCACCCATACGCTGTTTCAGATGAACACCCTACGTTACTTCCCCAAAGGCCACAAGAACTGTTATGGTTTACCCCTTCAAGATGCATATATGAAGTTCCTGTTTCGAGCTGGCTTTTACTATGGCAACTATGACTGCCTCTCGAAGCCACCTAGCTTTCGTCTAGGGATAGATGGAAACATATGGGCAGATGTAACGACTTCCATGAGCGAAGAGATGATCTACTATGAACTGCTTTACATAACAAAGAAGTCGCGAGTTAGCGTGTGCTTGATTCGTACCATGGACAGTGATGTTCCCTTCATTTCTTCTCTTGAAGCTTATTACATTTATGATGCTTATAATTGGATGGACAACACCACAGCATTGTACCTTCATGGCAGGATCAACTACGGCGCAAATACAAGTGTTAAGTAAATTCGACTCCAAAACAACAAATGAACTGCTACTACTTTTATCTTCTGTCATATTTTGAAGAGCATTTCGAAATTACTCAATCCTTCGAAATTTACAGGCGAAGTATGACACATTCCCATCCAGAACACTACAACCGGATTTGGAAATCCAAAAAAATGTCGAATTATCACAGCATTCATGCTGACTTCATAGCTTTTGATTATGTGCTTGGAGAAAATAGGCCACCATGGCCAGTTATAGGATATGCAATCCAAGCAAGAAATCTAACAGACTCTATATATTTGTCCGTTGATTTTTCCCCTCGAACAGCAGTACAAGCCTATTTCACGGACCCAGTTTCTCGGTCCGGACAAAATCAAATGAACAGTGTTGAGATCTACATAGACAACACCAAAATGGCTGTTACTGATATCCCTAATGTTGACAGTTTTTCGTATGATCAGTTGCATGTGGCGACGCTGTTTTCTGTGCCGGTCAATGGCTCAGCCAATGTGACTATTTCTCTGGCAGAAGGCTTGACTTTGGCACCGCTCCTAAATGCCATGAAAGTGTTTTCTGAAATTGATGTGTCTGAGAGTGAAGATTTGTCAAACTTGTCATCAGTACTCTTCATCATTTCTCTTCACTTGCTTGTTATACTCGTGACATAACTGTTTTAGGCATTTCTCTTCACTTTCTTTGTGTTGAGCTACTTGTTCTTTCTTTTTTGTTGGGGGCTTTCTCATTTTTTCTTGTATGGTTGTTTTCATTAAAGTTTTTATTTACAGAAAACAAATAAAATGTGATTATATCAAGATTACATTGGATTTTTTATTACTGTGTTAAATAAAAGTAAGAAACTTTTATTCATATACTGTTATTTAATATCAGATGCAAGAATTCTTTACTTACCACATGCTATGCAACGACCCTAGCTGATGCCAAAAATTAAAAAAAAATCGGCATAACCTCCCCTAAAAATGGGCCTTCAACAACCTATTCCAATACACAAAACACATAAAATCATCTAGCATCCCATTCATCCGTTCATTATACCTTAACATAGTTCCTTTCATGATGGAACATCCACACACCAATTAATCTAAATTATCATAATTACAGTCCTAAAATACAAGATTAATATTTAAAGTCCCTGTCTTACAACGTTACATGATACAATTGCATGGAAACATATACCATAATTCCACTAGTTTCATTTACATCAAACAAAAGATAAGTTCGTTCTTAAGTTACAAGGCCATGAATACTAACTTAGTTACATTTCCACAACTACGAATATACATAGAACAGTCAAAATACAAAATAGCAAACAACCTTCTAACAATTTTCAAGCTTGAGGTGGATTGTCGTCCACTAGTTCATTTCTAAGACCTGAAAAAAAAAATATAAATAATAGGGTGAGCATAAAGCTCAGTAGGTGACACTTAAGACACGCATCTTGTGTCCTTGTGAATCCAAACAAAGTATAGGCCAATGGGAAATGGGGATCATACAATGTCGGGGAATAATACAGCATAACGATTCAATGTCAAGTATATCCAATGCAATGGTATGAGATGCAATGCATGCTAGTGTCGCTCCCCATTTTCATAATCCAAAACATCATTTCCAAATTGTTAATACAGCCCGCCTTTTGGTAGCCCCGCCACGACACGAGAGGAGGATTGGCTAGTGTCCCTGACCCTTGGTAACCCCGCGGCGTCATTATGGGGCCCAGCTAGCTCAACCACGCTAGGGCGACTCCCTAGTCCCCTCTAGGCTATATTAACCTCCGGCCCGTTAGTAACCCCGCAGCGATCGGGTTTCGCATAAAACCATTTCATCAAAAACACTTCCCTGAAATTCCCCATATTTATTTCAAGAACAATTTCTCCCATTTCATGCAAACCCAATGGTATGTGCATGTATCTATGTTCCATACATTCAATGTCATGGCATTTAAAATTCTACACCATAAAATTAAACATTCAACATGTTCAACATCTCCCAAGTAATTATTAACACATTAAGATACATTAAAATACATTTAAGCATGCTTTACACATAAAACAACTCATATTCAAATACATGAATTTCTCTAGACAACATTTAAAATAATTATTGATACAATTAACTTCTAATTAAGCATGCTTGACATAACAAATGATTATAACTCACAATGGAACAAGAAGGTAGTGGATTAAGGTGTCCCTACCTCAAGTTTGCACCAAAACCCTTAAAAATGGGTCACAAATTTCAAACTCTAAGGAGAGGCTAAAAGCTGGAATTTCTGGTATGGATGCGTAGAGCTTGACATGAGCTTCGTTTTGCCTCAAACGGCACCTAAATCCGCCAAGTAACGAAGAATAAATCTTGCCTCAAAGATTGGGTTGAAAAAAAAAAGAAAATGAAATAGAAAATTGAGAGAGAGAGATAGGTACGGGGAGAGAGAAAGAATGAGAGACCAAAAATGGTCTCTAGCCACTTAAGGCTTAGTGGTGGGACCCACCAAAAATTCTTTTCTTTTCTCTTTTTCTTTTTCTTTTTAATTTACAGACATTACATTCTCCCCAACTTTAAAAGATTTCATTCCCAAAATCAAGACATACCTGGAGAAGAAAAAAACTCTGGATACTTGGAGCGAACCTCCTGTTCGAGCTCCCAAGTAACCTCCTCGACTTCGTGGTGTCTCCAAAGGACTTTCACCATTGGTATCGTCTTGTTCCTCAACACCTTTTGTTGTGTGTCAAGAATCTGAACTGGTCCTTCCTCGTAGGAAACATCCTCATCAATGTCTACATCAACCCAACTCAAAATGTGAGATGGATCTGGCTCGTACTTCCGTAACATCGATACATGGAAAACATTGTGGACCCTATCCAACTGTGGTGGCAAAGCAAGTCTGTAGGCAACCTCTCCTACACGGTCCAAAATCTCAAATGGTTCAATGAATCGTGGAGACAACTTGCCACTTTTCCCGAATCTCATCAATCCCTTCCGTGGAGAAACCCAAAGAAAAACGTGGTCTCCCACCTCAAAGGATAATGACCGTCTCCGCTTATCCGTATAACTCTTTTGTCGGCTCTGAGCTGTGAGTAACCTCTGTCTTATTAACTTAATCTTCTTAGTAGTCTCGAGTACAATGTCAGGTCCTAAGGCGGCTGTCTCACCTACCTCAGTCCAACAAACAGGAGACTTACAAGGTCTACCATACAACGCCTCAAATGGAGCCATCTGAATGCTCGCCTGATAAATGTTGTTGTAGGCAAATTCAATAAGTGGAAGGTGATCCTCCCAACTACCACCCAAGTCAAGCACACATGCCCGAAGCATATCCTCCAAAATCTGGATAGTACGCTCCGACTGACCGTCAGTCTGTGGATGGAATGCTGTACTCAGGTGCAACGCTGAGCCTAACGCTGCTTGAAGTCCTTCCCAAAACTTCGAAGTGAACTTAGCATCCCTATCTGAAACAATGGTTACTGGAACTCCATGCAACCTTACAATCTCTTTCACATAAAGAGCATCAAGCTTCTCTGCATCATCTGTTGCCTTAATAGGAAAAAAGTGAGCTGTTTTGGTCAATCTGTCAATGATGACCCATACGGACTCATTGCCCCTTCGTGACCTTGGAAGACCTGTCACAAAATCCATAGCAATATGCTCCCATTTCCATTGCGCTACAGGTAATGGTTGCAATAAACCGGCTGGTCTCTGATGTTCGGCCTTCACCTGCTGACAGGTAAGGCATTTAGCCATAAACTGTGCAACATCTTTCTTCATCCCGTTCCACCAATACTGACGTCTCAAATTGTGATACATCTTGGTACCACCTGGATGAACTACAAAGCGGGAAGTGTGAAACTCCCGTAGGACGTCCTCACGACAAACCGTAGGAACCACCAACAAACCCCTGAATCGTAGAGCCCCATCTATATACAAAGCCCAATTTTTCACTGTCTCACCACTGGAGATCAAAGTGTGAATGGCATCTAAATCCGGGTCCTGTCTCTGTGACTCAATCACTCGTACAACAAGAGTAGGCTGAGCCATAAGACTAAATAAGAATGCCGACTCGCTGTCAACATCATCATCGAAACAATACAATCCCATCTCTGCCAAATCTTTAAGCATCTTCCACTTCCGAATAACCAGACAGGCCAAAGTTCCACGAGATTTTCGGCTTAAGGCATCTGCTACCACATTTGCCTTACCCGGATGATACTGCAAGTCAAAATTATAATCTTCCAAGAATTCAACCCATCTTTTCTGTCTATTGTTCAAGTCCTTTTGGGAGAAAAGGTACTTGAGACTTTTATGATCCGAGTACACCTCGAATCTTTCACCATATAAGTAGTGTCTCCAACACTTCAAAGCAAACACAACTGCCGCCAACTCTAAATCATGAGTAGGGTAGTTGTACTCGTGAGTCTTCAACTGTCGAGACCCATAAGCCACTACTCTACCATCCTGCATCAACACACACCCTAAACCATCACGTGAAGCATCACAATAGATCACATAACCCAAGCAACGCTCAGGTATCACCAACACTGGAGCCGTAGTCAATCTTGTCTTCAATTCCTGGAAAGATGACTCACAGGCTTCATTCCATGCAAACTTAATCCCTTTCCGGGTTAAACGGGTCATAGACGCTGCTAAACAGGAGAAATCTTTCACAAATCTCCGGTAGTAACCCGCTAGACCGAGAAAACTACTGATCTCAAACACATTCTTGGATTGCTCCCAATTCAAAACAGCTTCAATCTTTGATGGATCAACTGACACTCCGCCTTCTGAAACAACATGTCCCAAAAACTTCACCTCTTGTAGCCAAAACTCACATTTCTCATATTTGGCATACAACCGGTGCTCCCGCAAAATCTGTAAAATACTTAAATGGATCTCGTGTTCCTCCCGAGATCGTGAATACACAAGAATGTCATCCACGAAAACTACCACAAAATGGTCCAAGTAATCGTGAAAGATACGGTTCATTAAGTCTATGAATGCCGCTGGAG